AGCATATAAGGTCTGTTCATTATCGATTCTATCTATAATTATTTCAGTGAGTTTCTTTTTTGCATGCAGCTCGTCATTGAAGAGCTGTAACCCAACGCAGGAGGCATTTTTTTCGTTTTATTTTGTTCTCTTGCACTGATTGATAACCACCCATTTTGTTCCTTGTTTCATCAGCTGTTTCGTTTTTTTTAAGTATATGTCAATGAAATGTTATGATGTACATAGTGCTATGTCTATACGTGTTTGTGATTCTGACTGGAATTATCGATGATAGACCTATTGCGTGTCCGTGTTGTTATATTATTCTTGAGCTAGTTACGGATTCATTTGTTGTCGATGCTCGATGCTTGTTATTTCGGGATTCGTCTAAGTGTTTGCTTTTGTAATGATTGTTTAGTTGAAAATCCCGTTTATTTGTTTATCCTTTTTAGGTGTTTCATGTATCCCATGGTTTCACAAATTTCATGATAATGTTTAATACGTTTTTTTTTCAAAAACAGCTGGAAGCGTAACTTAGCCACTTAACAGCCCCTAGAAGTTATTGTACTGTAGTGGGGGGGGGGGGTGGGGATATAAGAGGCATTTGAGATGTGCCACATATTTGAAATGTATTTTGATTATCAGTAATGATTTTTCTGGCTTGCTCTAAAAGCATTTAGATGTTTCAGAAAGTTTATAAAATGAGCTAGTTTTTGCTAAATTTCTTCTCAGACAAACGAAATGCGACGAACTCTAACCGACAAAAAGGCAGATTCTAGTGCGGTAAGATCCTGTTTGTATATATTCGCATATTTTCGTACAGAAAATCTTTTCCTTTTTTTCAGCATTCCTATTTGTATTTGTATTGTGAGTATTTTGATTCTCTGCCAATTGATATCTATAGCAGGAAAGTATTTATATTCATCAGTTCCATCGGTCTTAGCTGTCCAGAATGTAGATAATTGAACATATTTTTGTTGTGGTTGGAGTTGATTACGATTATCCTTGTTGATAAATGTTTTTGTTTCAATTGCAAAGGTTATAAAAAGTTTGAAGCACAAACTTCACTCCGTCGAAAGAGTCGTAAAAAACAAAGACAGTGAACTAAGGTATGTTAATACCTCCTTTTGTTAATACCTCACTGAAGCAGCAACACATAACCAAAAAATCTTATTCAGTCACGCACATATTTACTAAAACTGCAAAATCTTGTTCAACACAGCAAGAAGCTCTATTTTAAAGAGATTTTTCGGTATTTTTTTCAATACTTTATTCCTAGCAACTTGTCTACCATTTTTTCTTAAACATCTCAATAATTCTAATCTGGTATTCAAGAACCTTACAGAAGTAAGTCTGACTTTGAAAAAAGCAAACATTTTGAAACATGCTAAAGCTTATCGTCTGACACTCTTCAGATTATAAACATCAGATCATAGATCGAAAACTCTTGGAAATATATATAGCTACCCAATTGTGGGTCGAAATAGGCCAATCAGAAACGGTAGCATTGCGTATTGAAATAAATATCAACAGCATTAATTTCTAATATTGCTTTGTCTAGTGTTCGCTCACTTTCTTTTTACAATAGCTTGAATAATGTTAAACAATTTTTAGTTTTTTGCCATTTTTTATGAAAACATTTTTTATGCTTTTATTTCGATTCGTTCTTTCCCTCCTCCCCGTGTCTACTTTCTGCTTTCTGTTAGACAGTTCATCTTTTTCGCTATCATTAAAAAAATTCTGTCATTTAACTCATCGGCATCTTGTAAATTTTCTCCTTCTAATTCAGCAAATTGAAAAATGACATGCAATACTCCGACATGGCGGAACTCCAGATGCAAAATGAAGTGTGTTATCAGGAGGTAAGTAATATTAGAGAATCATAACCTTTTTCGGCAGAATTTTCAGCTATATCCATCTCAATCCATGTCTACTGCTTTTAAATCAATGTTTTGACACCGTGATTTTTTACAAAGTCACTAATTGTGTTGATTCTTTTTTTGAATTTCAATTCATTATTTTTCGTAAGAATCACTGTCTCATACATCTCCAACCAATTGGAAATGAGATTAAGAAGGCATTGTACAATAACTTCTTGTTTTTCTGCAATTTTTGCAACTTTGGGTTTTATTGTCCTTATTAATAGACATTTTAAAGTTTTGGAATACTTAATTTAAAAAATCAAAATTGTTTGAGCCTCAAGATTGTTTGTGTTTTATATTGGAACGAATGATGTATTGTTTGTTTTTATTTCACATTGATTAAGTCACAAGGATTCGATATGATTGAAGTTTGAGTGAAACTATTTAGTATATGGTTATGATCTATGTATAAACGATCAAACATGTTATTATGTTACAGATTCAAAGGCTGACAAGATTGCTAACAGAACCTCGAAGTGCGAACACTTTGCAGATTACGTCAGAGTATGCAATTTGCAGTTTTTATTATATTTTTCCTAGCGTAGAGTTTTCGATCTATGTTCTGACGTTTTAAACTCTGAAGAGTGTCAGACTAAAAGCTTTAGTTTACTCAAATGTTTGCTTTTTTCAAAGCCGTTTTCAAGTTTTTATTTTGTTGACTTTGATAGAATGGATAACATTCTCCAATTTTTGTACCTTCTGCTCGTAACTGAAATCTTAAGCTTTTTTAGATTCTTTCAAACCCTTAAATTAAAGTTCTTTATGAAGTCTAGATTTCTGCTGTTTCACCAAGCAATTTCGATTGCTGCACTCTGGTTGTTGTTGTAAGCCTGTCATAACTATACTTCAATAAGGTTGCTGTTATCTTGATTAACTCTTCAGAGGACCTTCTTTTCACGGCACAAGATTTTTTTCAGAATAAAGAAAGAGAAGACAGCGGAAGGGAAAATAAAAAGATATAGCGAAGCAGTTGAATCATTGTCAGGTAAACGTGTTTTTCTTTCTTAGTACGTCATCTTTTGTCATAAAATGACATCTTTTTTATCATAAAATCTTTTAAGTTTTGGTACTACAAAAAATGTGAAGATGGCTCGAACTGAACCATTTAAGTTTTTATATTTACTTTATCAACAATCGTTCATTCCTGCTGTGTCTGGAACATGCCTTACGTTGTATCCATGTTTATTACTCATGTTTATAACGTTGTATCCATGT